CTCAGAAAGCTGATGCAACAGTTTGAGTTGAAGGCAGTCTGAGCTGTGGCAAGTTCAGCCAGTCTAGATTACAAGGCAAATGCTGCCTCAAAAGAAAAAAGAGGAAAGAAAATTGGACAAAGGAAAAGGGTGAAAAATGGAGAAGGAAAATGAAGACAAAAAAAGAAATAGAGACAATGAGCTTAGAAGTTCTAATTTGGGGGGGGGGGTTCGAGACAGGGTTTCTCTGTGGCTTTTGGAGGCTGTCCTGGAACTAGCTCTTGTAGACCAGGCTGGTCTCGAACTCACGGAGATCCCCCTGCCTCTGCCTCCCAACTGCTGGGATTAAAGGCGTGTGCCACCAATGCCTGGCGTAGAAGTTCTAATATTTTTTGCTAAAAAGATAAGAAATGGGGTACAAATGAAAGGCTAAGTACAAGAAAATGCTAGCACAGTGATGAGAAAGATCAGATAAGGAAGAAAAAAATTGAAGTTGCTTTCCTAGTTCCTGTGACCAAAACACTTGCCAAGAAGGAGAGTTTGTCTTGGCTTATAGATTAAAGGAGTGTTGTCCGTATAACAGAGAAAGCATGTATGTTGGCGGAAGCATCGGTTGGCTGCTAAGTTTATGCCCACAGTCAGGAAGTACAGAAAGATGGATACTGACTCCTTGCTCACTTTGTCCAGGAACTCAGCCATAGGAAGGAGGCCAGCATTCAGGGTGGATCCATCTCCCCCAATCTCCAAACTAACCATCATCTCCATCCCATCTGTAGTTTAACTTCTTTGGAAATGTTCTAAGATACTGCCACAGGTAGGTGTAGGTGTGTATGTGAAGGAGGATGTCTTCATTCCCTTTCAACCCCTAGTTAGGCTCAAGTCCCTGGAGCCACAATATAGCTTTGTCTGACCAGGGCTCTCTGTTTCTGGCTCTGCCAAGATCTGTCAAAGCACCTCACACAAGCACCTCATACCATGGACAGGAGCTACTCCCACTGACATGAAACTGATCATGAAAATAAATATGCTTCCTTCTTTAAGCTGTTCCTGTCAGATATTTTTGTGAGGCAGATGAGAAGAGTAACTAATATAGAAAACTGGTACCAGGAAGTGGGTTGTTGTTGTGATAAATTTGGCCATATGGCTCACTGGTTTCTGGAACTGATTTGTAAGAGGAAGGAATATGGAAGAGTTTAGAGTTGTGGGCTAGAAAAAAACAAGAAAATTAAGTAGAGACTAACAGGATTCTGATGGGAGTGTGCAAAACCAAATGCCAACAGAAATGTGGAAAATAAAGACAATGCTCACATGGTTTCAGGAACTGGACAAGAGACCATTCATGTCACAGTCTGGCAAAGAACCTGGCTCTGCTCTGCTTGTGTCCTGAAAACTTGAATGAGGCTGAGTACTAAAACTCATAGGCTAGTAGTGTATTTGATCAATAAAGCTGGGGCATGGTTATTGGTCACTGACTTTTATTCAGGATCAGAGTGAAAATTTTGAGAGGGGAAAAGGGACAGAACGGTTTGTGAAATGTTCAATTTAACAAGGAAAGGAAGATGGGTACAATTAAAGTTTTGGACAGAATAGACAGACCAGATGCTAGGGTTGTTAGAACACAGAGTGTAATTAAGGTGGGGCCTGCAGTAGTCCCTGTTGGAGTAAATAAACCTAGGAAAATGTTTTGCCTAATTTAGCCACCCGTATGCTTAGAGACTATTGCAACTATGATAAAACAAATCAAAACAAAACAAACAAACAAAAAAACCCAGGAACAGGCGGTATCTCAAGCTGACAGGAAGACATAAAGTTGTCTTAGTGCTGCCTTGTAGACACACATAATGGGTACTAAAGACTTTCACCAATGTTTCAGAAAGCCTAAGGCCAGGGAATCAGTGTCAAAGTTAGATTCACTATAAGGCCCTTTACAAGCCACTGTAAACCTCTAAAGGTAAAAGCCTAGGAAGCAATAGAGAATTATGATGTTAGGTATAATAGGGACATGGAATGCAAAATGGGGAAAGCTGAAAGTATTGGTTGAATCATCCAAGAGAGTACATGTATACCTTCAGCAACAGTACTGTAGGGTAGAGCTATCCAAACTCACTGAAGTTTATAGGATGCTGCCATAAGCCCCAGATGCTACATGCAACTACAGGGTTTGCTGTGTGCTCTTCTGTGTTTGCCTTCTTTGATCTAATCTTTCCTTGCTCTATTCCAATTCCTCCCTTTGGAATGGGAATGTCTTCTCTAGCATTGTGTATTGGAAGTACACACCTTGGATTTTTAATGTTACAGGAAATAAATTGACTTGACATAGTTGTTGAGATGACAGTGACCCAGAATATTAAAAACAACAAAAGTGTGTGACAATACGAGAAGGGTCTTGGGCTTGGAAGATGACTACTACAACAGGAAATTCATGCCTGTTTTAGAGAAAATGAGGAAGAATAATAAGAAACAGCCATAAAAAGAGAGATACCTATTCTAGGCAATTGGTATAAGGAAGGCTGTGGAAAAAAACCAGCTACCTCTTGGCAGAATTTCACAGAAGAAAGTATCTTCAGAAAAGCTTCAGTTTCTCATGGGACCAAAAAATTAAAGAGACCCCCTATAGTGACACGGTAGAAGAAACAAGGTTTATCTTGAGTTGCAGCAGGCAGTGAATTATTTCAAGAGGTGGGTAAAGATGAGTGGAAGATAAGGTCAGAAAATAGGGATATATAGACCCAAAGCAAGAGCTAAAAGTAGGGAATGAGGGCTCTCAGACATCTAAAACTACCTGTAATAGCTACCATAAGAATATAGGTCGGGTGGCGGTGGCACATGCCTTTAATCCCAACACTCAGGAGGCAGAGGCAAATGGATCTCTGTGAGTTGGAGGCCAGCCTGGTTTACAAAGCTACACAGAGAAATCCTGTCTGGAAAAAACGAAACAAAACTGGATGGATGGATGGATGGATGGATGGATGGATGGATGAGCTGAGGATTTAAGGATATATCTCACTGGTAAAATACTTAATTAGTATGTAGGATTTCCTGGGTTCCATTTCCAATATTTATTCTTCAACTCCCCATACACCCACACAAAGAGGAAAAAAAAATACCTATGACATTGCTATAGGGGGTAAATCAAACCCAGAGTGGGGTACTTAACTGAGCAGGAACTTTTTAGTGATGGATTGTATATGGGTACTGGATACAACTTGTTTCTTAATGTTGTGTTATCTGTTCTTAAACTATAGTCCTAATCTGAACCAGCAACAGTGAAAGACAACACAGTAGCTCCATCAAAACCAACATCTTGAATTATATTTTTATTCAAATTGGGTAATTACAAATCTTCTATACTAATATTTACCCTGTGAATTTTTATTATTCATTTTAATGAAGCAACACGATTTCCAAAGGGCTGACCTTCACTGAAATGTTTTAATAAAATACTGGAAATGGGGAGGAAGATGTTCTTAAGTGAGGGAGATTTTTAATGGATGAAAAGAACAAAGAAGTTCTTTGTTGCTGAGCCCTTTCAAGTAAGCACTGCTTACTAAATGAAAGAAGAAAACTGAAATCACTTCATTATTACCTTATCTTTATCAAATTTAGAAAGATGGCAAGAAAAGTGACAGATAAAGATATGAAGGGTGGAACAAACAAAGAGAAAAATCATGTAGGAAAATATAAGTGAGAAGAAATGCTTCCTGTTCAATCCTTCTTCTGAACATACATTTTAGGAAGAACACCTTACTAAATGGGTACTCTACCCACTACCTCTTTTTAGTTCTTTACATAGAAATCAATATAATTAGTATTTTATTGATTCAAACATTTTCTCTTTATCTGCCATTTTGTTGCTTCTTTACCAAGACCACAGTCATTTTTTATGCCATGGAGGTGGATTTGGATGTAAAAGGATTGGTATGTTAAGACAGTTTGAAGAATTAAATAGTAAACCGTATGTGATAAGTTCAAAAGAATTTCTCCCTCCCTCGGTCTCCTTCCCTCTCAGTGGTCTCAAAAAAAAGAAGTGGGTGTTTATCCTTTCTTATTTCTTTCTGGATGCCCATTGTATTTGGGACAGACTGTGTTCTTTCACATTTCATGCAATTATGATTCACTGACTTATATAAATGCTGCTTTCATCCATTGTCCCAAGGACTACAGTTGCTGCTTTCTACTGTTGCTAGCTCATGGTACTTCTTTAACCTTCAATGAGGTCCTTATTCTTCCCACACTTCTTTAAATTGTCCACTTATCAAAATCTTTCCATTAATCTGCTGAGCTTGAAGTCTGCTTTCATTGTGTTTTATCTTACTTAGGGTTTCTACTACTATGATGAAACACAGTTACTAAAGGTGACATGGAGAGGAAAAACTTTATTTCACTTTACAGTTTCATATTACAGTCCATCACTGAGGGAAGTAAGGGAAGGGACTCAAATACAGCAGGTACCTGGAGGCAGATGCAGAGGCCAGATAGGACTGCTGCTTACTGGCTTGTTCCTCATGACTTGTTCAGCCTGCTTTCTTAGGACCACCCATCCAGGGTTGGCACGATTCACAGTGAGCTAAACCCTCCCACATCAACCAAGAAAATGTACCACAGGCTTGCCCACAGGCCAATCTGGTGAGGGCATTTTCTCCATTGAGGATCCTTCTTACAAAATGACTCTACCTTGTGTCAAGATGACATTAATACAACTAGTCAGGACAGGAGTAAGCTAATATAATTTAGTCTCTCTAGACTATCTGCAAGACCAGGTTTCCACAACTTAAAACTTTCCCATTCCAAATTTATCAACTCAGTATGATTGTCATTGTTTTCTTATTCAAAATCCATCCCTCTCTTATGGAATTTGCTATTTCATTGCAGCAATGTAATTATGATAACAGCACCCATTTAGATTGCAATTTATGGTTCCTAGAGCCTGTATTTATATAATGTAACTTTATCAAAATACAAATAAGAAGTACATAATTTCAGAAATGTGCTTAAAAATGAATAGTAGCTTTGCATCTTACCTCCTTCTCCTTGTTGAGCAACACTAACTGGCTGTCTGTGAGGATGCAGTACTTTCTTTCCCATGATGTTGTCTCAGTGTAGGGTGACTGACCACAAGACAGACGATGGGTGGGTGGTCCTTTTACATCTATATAGCAAAAAAGAAAAACAAATGAACAAACTATTCTCATACCTGGGATACCAGTATTTGAAATACAAGAATTCTCTAAAGGCAAATTAGTAGAAATGATTCTAAACATGAATCTCAAAGTATTATAATGGAGTCTGGAAGACTTGGTCCTAAAATTTTCAGAAAAGCTTAAACATTCCAGAAGAAAACTTAGCACATACCTGATAGTTATCAACATAGGATTTAGACTTAAACAATAGGAGGCTGCTTCAAAGCTCAACTAATACTCAAAATGAAGTGGGGATAACACAGAGAAAAGAAGAAAGGAAAAAGATGTCCAGTTTTTGGACAAAGAAGATGTTAATGTACATTTTGAAAATATGATTAATCAAGAATTGAGTAAGTAGCCAGGTAGTGGTGGTGCATGCCTTAATCCCAGTACTCGGGAGTTAGGGACAGGCAGATCTCTGTGAGTTTGAAGCCAACCTGGTCTACAGAGAGAGTTCCAGGATGGTCAGAGTTACACAGAGAAACCCTGTCTAGAAAAAAACAAAAAATAAAATGGAAAAAAAAAATCAAGTGAACAGGTTAAGAGCAGATTGACTACTTCTACAAAATGGATTTATATTCATAAGAATTAGAACTACTTAAACCATAGCATCACATTACCACTAGAGGACAGTAAGATCTTAAAATGTACAAAATGATTTTCTCAAGGAAGGATCTAAAGATGTATTACATCGTGCATCTTAAAAGGTGAGGGTGCCTAACATTAAAGCAAAATGTTAACAATCCCCAAGTCTCAATTGATCACTACTATCCTTTGCTTCTTTAAAATGTTTTCATATGAACTCTTGACACATTTACATTGTGAAATGTTGAGCATACCTTAATAATATCTATACATTAGATGATTAAATAAAGCTTTTATGATAGTTCCTTTTATACATTAAAAGTTGTTAGCCACACAAGACTAATTCCTTATGCATACACAAAAACAACTGCTTCAAGTACCTTATTTATTACTACTAAGATATGCTACAGGAGCAATCCAAACTGAAGACAGTAGAAAACAAACACCTATAAGGGTAAGGCTGTTGTAAATCTAAATAGATTGACACTGACTTCAATAAATGCAAATGATTTCCAACTGTCTCAGGTTATAATTACCCAAATAGCAAAATTAAGGAAGATATGTGTAGAAAGCTACAACTCAGTAATCAAAGCTCTTAAGTACATATCTCTCTTCTCAAATCCCATGAGTTAAATAATACCTTCCTTTTTTTTTCTGGTTTAAATTCTTAGCCTCTATAAGTCTATTTAACTATATGTCTTATTTTAGGGAGCGCACCAATTCCTCAAAAAAAAAAAAAAATTCAAAACCTAAGAACCCAAAATACTAAGAGCTTGGCTAAACATAATACTGAATCATAGGAATTTATTGCCTTGGTATCCTATTTCTATCTGTTCTGTAAAACACATAGCAGTTACATATGGCATTTACAGAATCTCCACTCCATACCTATAGCTTTTCCTTTGTTAGTCTAAGCATCTTTATTTAATGTTAGAATTGCATCTTAAATTATCCTAAAATTTTCCAAAATTATTGTGAAAGACTTAAATACATTCTTAATCCTTTGGACACACACACACACACACACACACACACAGAGAGAGAGAGAGAGAGAGAGGGAGAGAGAGAGAGAGAGAGAGAGAGAGAGAGAGAGAGAGAGAGAGAGAGAGAGAGAGAGAGAGAGAGAGAGAGAGAGAGAGAGAGAGAGAGAGAGAGAGAGAGACAGAGACAGAGAGACAGAGAGACAGAGAGAGAGACAGAGACAGAGAGAGAGGGGGGAGAAAGGGAGGGGGGAGAGGAAGAGAGAGAGAGAGAGAGAGAGAGAGAGAGAGAGAGAATATTCTTGTTTATAATTTAAAGTTATGTCAAAAGTGACTAGAGTCATATGCTTTAGATAAATGAGTTGAATTTTATCACAGTGTGAGCTTAATCCCAGAGTCAAATATTAAGACAACTTAAACCAAGAGATAGAAACAGTGACCTAGACAAGTTTTATTCAAATGGCTAACTATATTACACAATTAGGCACGTTTAACCCAAACTGTCTACTGTACTTTATAAATGATACTAAAACATGATGCTATTGATAAACCCTACTTTTTAAAAATTAAAATTTTAGACACTGTATTTATGACATAATCCATGTTTCCTGCCAAAATATAAATCTGTATTAGCACTAACCTTAAGAAAACAAAATTATCTGTCTGATCCTGAGTAATTTTCTTAAGCTTCCCAACATTTTCCATTTGTGTAGCCTGAACTTTATTCTAGTTTCTTTATGGTATGTGAAATAAGAAACACCGAAGCATATTGATTCCCAGAATCATTTAAGTTCATTGATAAATGTAAGATGAAATAGGAAGCATTTTAAAAACTTTGTCTAAAATGAGCCATCCCAGAGGCCAGCATTCTTTATTTTCATAGCTATTTCCAGTGGAAGAAGACAGAGAAATAAGTATTTTGTTCTGTTTAGTACTTATGGACTAAGATTTAAGAAATACTTTAACAAAGATAAACGAACAGCAACAACATCAAATCCCCAACATTTTAAAAAAGTCTATAAATTTAATTTAGTCATCCTATCATGTCCACATCCCTTTGGCTAACTGAAAGATTAATAGCAAGGCCTGCATATCGATAATTATAAGAACAGAACAAGTTCAGGTTTTTGCCCTATTTCACCTTAACAGTTCTACCAATCTTCATTTTTGACTCTAGTGACTTACTTCTAATTCTGACTTCCGATTATTTTTAGTACCTAAAATTCACTAGGGAAAATCATAACAGACTTACAGCGAAGATTCTTAATAGCAAAATTAGAAACAATTTTAGATTTGCTGTATCCCATTCCTTTGAGAATACTAAGGACATGACATGCTGGCCTCATTACAAAAATTAAATAATTTTAGGAACATTAAAAAGAATCAAAAGTAAACTTCTACAGAAAGCACTTTAAGACTGGATATTACCTTGTAGCCTTAAAATTATCAATTTTTAAAATCAAGATCCCTTGAGACTGAAAAACTACTGAGGATATATTCATATGGCTTATGTCAACACACATTATATTAGAAACTAAAATTTACCACATATCAATATTGAGATACATCTTAATGAAACATAACTATTTTTAATAAAAATCTAAAAGAATGACACTGTTTTTACATTTTTCAAATGTCCTCAAAGACTGGCTGAATACAAGACAGTCTATTTCGTTTGTTTTTCTATACCCAATTGGTTGCTATAGCTATTTTGGTTTATATATAAGAGAAAATCAGGACTTAGATATGATGATCAAAACAGCAATAGTATTTTAATAGTATTTTCAAATAATTATGGCACTCTTCTTCAACATAGTACCAAAACCTGACAAGAATTTTTGAAAGAATAAGCAGGAATCAATACAATGTGGAATCTGAAATGACAGCAATAAACTTTTCATGTAAACACATTAAAAATCACTGGTCTATATTTTCTTTTGAGTAGCCCTTTTTACCTCATATGTATGAGTTTATAAACAGTAGGTGTTGATCATTTAGAAAATACTGATTGGCTTTGATTGCCCATCTTCCAAATGATGACATTTATACACTATAAAAATAAACTTATACACTATAAAAATAACCTACATTCATCAATCAATCTTTCCAATTGTCTTGCTCTGATCAGAAGTTCTTTGGATTTAGGGAAGCTGCCAAATTCAAGGAGCAGATGGAAATTACCCAAACTGTAATTTTTGTTTTGGTCACTAATTTTTCTCTAGCAATAAATACTGTTGGTTGTTTCCCCTGAAATAATGGTCTCATGTCTTTTCTTTTCTGGAAAATGTCATATAGCATACACAGAATGGCCATGATCTGTTGTAGAATGTGAACATACCAGCCCTTTTCTTAATCAGAATAGTGACCATTTTCAAGAGACCCCTGAGACAGGGCTTATTGACTATGGATACTTCCTCTTAGAAGGGGTTGCTGGGGAAGGTCACTGAAACCACACCTGAGATTCTGCTGACTCCCCCAAATGTCTCCTGGCTATCTATGCAATTCTATTTTAATTGCATGTAGTCTTCTGGTCTTGGGAACTGTTAAAGTGTAGAGAAAAGGATTACTAGAAGCGGAAACTCCATATATGCAGCTATGGAGAAGTCATGATCCGTACTAGTTAAAACTTTTGAATGCAGCTGCTTTGGGGTCCTACACATTCCTGCAAGCAGTCCCTTATCCATGCTCTATCAGTAGTTCCAAACTCATTGGTTCCCTAGACTGAACTCTGATGGAACTATACTTTGGGTTGTTGTTTCAGCTTGATAAGGATGGGTAGGTGTTGCTGACATTTTCCCAGGGAAGGAATTTGTACAAAACTACCTTTCAGTCTTATGAAAACTTTAACTTAGAAAGGGGGTCCTGGGAGTCCAAGGTTCCACAGATCAAAAGCTAGAAACATCCACCCATACATCAATAGGAAGTCAATGGATAATTCTAAGAAAAGCAGCCATATATTATAAAATCAAGTGAGTAAATAAAGACCAGAAGTTTTGTAAATGGGAGATTAATATAATGGGCTGGTCTAGAAATGATTACAATATGCACTAGATTGTTCAAAGTGGAAATAGTAAGAGCGCTTATGTGACCCATATTTTGAAACAGGAATCAGGACTGGTAATTCTCTAGCAGTCTGTGGTAGAGCAGCACAAAAGAGGTGAGAAAATAAAACAATGAATAGAAATACAAACTGATAAATGCTCATAAAGTAAATTATGTGATTGTGGTTCTGCTTTAATTTTAAAGAGAAACTCCAACACAGTTTTCAAAAAGGGAATAAAACCTAAAAGGGAAGCTCATTTAAAAAGATTCAGTGCAATCCACTTTTTTCCAAACAATCTCAAAATATCATTTACAATACTGGGTTATTTGGTCTACCAGTAAATCTAAACTCTAAACTCTGG